GACCCTTCGTTTAACCAATTAACGACGAAGCCTATTCCCTCACTCTCCTAACTAAATTCATCACCAACAAATCCGATGGTCCCGTGCGCTAGACACACCCATCCGTAGCTTTCCTCCCAGACAGCATCATCTCCCAGTACAATACTGATTTTACATCCTTCGAACGGTCAACATCCTTCCACCGGGTATACACACCCGTAGATCAGTCACTCATTCATCTCATACATACGCACCAGTGTAACTACCTACGTTACAAGTTAGTGGAATAAACGGTGAAATATAACTTACTACTGTGTCATATTCATTTAACCACCTCTGTTATCTTAACCGAAACAGGGGAACGACTACTTCGCGGCGTCGATTCAACGAATCGTAGCGAGAATTTACGCCTCTCGCTGACGCGTTTTCCTCGCGACCGCGTCTCTCCGCGAACGGTCGTAACACTTGCTGATCCTTTCAATAGTTTCCTCGCATAAATTACCTTCTGTGCTTCTGGCCACATGCATGTGTCTGCAAATTCTTCGAACGATTCGAATCATCGATCGACATTTTCACTTTTATCACCACTAAATGCTTCTAATGCGTCTTCGACGTCCTTAAAACTAAATATTGAACCAACATGTGCTTTTTGATAGTATTTATCACGATGTGTTTCTCCTGCATTCTCTTAGGCGAGCGCCATCCTCCTCGACAACCCTGACGACACTCCTTCTCAACTAACGACTGCCTGTTAATTCGTCTTTCTCCCTTTGTCTTTTCTCATAGCTCCACCACGTACATGTTCCGCGGCCATGGTCACATAGGCCTTTTTTCCGCCTAACTAATCGACCAAAGGATCAACGACACATTGATAGGTCGTTCGATCCATTGAAATTTCCAGACCCTTTTGGCCTATCGGCACTTAAGCTTCCCTGCAACATGGTTTATGGTTCAACGATATTTCATAGGCAATCTGTCAATGATACTGTATTTTCGACCAGTCGCAAGGAGAGACGTTAACGAGAGTCGTAAATTCCCGTTACGATTATAGTAATCGACACCACGAGTTAATCGATCCCCTGATTTCGGTTAAGATAATAGGGGTGATTCAGTTAGTATAACACTGTGATTCACAGAATTATGAGTTATATATTTCCAACACTTAAGTTACACTGTTGAGTAGGTATAAATCGTAGATAACAACTTGTCGCACGAAGATAAGATAGATGTGCACGCCAGAGCAAGGCTCTTATAATTGAATTTAGTATGTTAGTGGACCCTACCCTTGTCAAGCCGTAGTAGACAATAGTCTTTAGAAATGATTTGGAAAAAAGATATTTGTTGGGTCTGAAGGACCTTAGCTAGCAAATTAATGGGATTTATGATGGGTCCTTAAGACTGTTGAGAGTACGCAGCAAGGATGAGCGGACATCTGGTGTCCGTCTGGCCCGCGGTGTATGGTGTCACGTAAACTTAAGGGTTGGTTGATGAAATAATATAGCTGAGTCGTAACACAACTATTAATTTTATTTTAATTAAACTTTATTATGAATTCAGTAACCACAATGTAATACACACTGAATTAAAATAAATCATAATTCACTCCAACCACGTTATGTAAGACTTAGTTACAATTATACGTTAGGTACGCGACTGTTATAAGGGTAAAGATATGTTGACTATTCTGAGGATACAGAATAAGTGACTTTACTGACGATACTGTGTCTGAGGAAGGCTAGGGCTGGGTGTGTTTAAGGACACGGGACTATCGGATTTGTTGATGACAATTTTGGTTAAGGAAGTGAGGGCAGTAGACACCATCTCCGATTGGATAATAAGACAGTTGGTGGACCAACCAACTTTCTATGCTAACACGTGGTAGACAATAAACGTAAAGGAAATCTAAGACAAGAAATACTCGCTTGGTCAGAAGGACCTTAACTATGAAAATTCCAAGAGCCCTGGTGGGTACTTAAGACTATTGAGGGTGCGCGCCAAGGATGTGCAGACATCTGGGTGCCATCCTGTCCGCGGTGTGTGGCCTGGTCTCTGATGTGAATTGACGTTACAATGGCCTAGTCTAGGTAGAGGGTTGTCCGATGTAACAGATACTACGCTTAAGTTCTGAATTCCAACGGCAATGTAAGAAATGAACCAGAACACATAAAAGTATGTAACAGGTGAAATCGTACAGCTCCTTCTTCTTGAAGTATTTGTTCCTTGCTAAGTTCGTAACGTAATATAGAATGGGCATTTACATTGAATTTATAATTACAAGTGTCCACTATGTAATAAACAGTAGCAGCCGCTTTAAGTCAATTTACAAGAACTCTGTATCCTATTTCATCAACCATTCCTCTTTTATCATATCGGCACCCTTCTCTGCGATCATGATAATCGGAGCATTGGTATTACCACTGACTATGTTTGGCATAATCGAGCCGTCTATGACTCGAAGCCCGGTGACTCCGTGAACTCGAAGCCGAGGGTCTACTACAGCCGTTGGATCCGAATTAGGCCCCATCTTGCAAGTACCCACTGGATGATATAGAGTCGAGCCATAGAATCTGATCATGCACTCCCAATATGGATCGGTATACATAGGAATATTCTTGCAGCCAGGAAATGGTACCGGTATAAATGTGCTTCCATAACGTCTAAATGATGCAGTTTTACTCATCTCGAGTATAAACTTAATTCCCTCTACCAATGTCGCCACATCTTCCGGGTTTTCGAAGTAGTTGGGATAAATTAGTGGATAATGGAAGGGATTGTTGCTTCGAAGCTTGATAACACCTTTGCTTTTCGGTCTTATAAGCGTAGGAAGCCCCACCCACATGTTTTTACCGATTACACTCCCATACACAGTATCGAAGAATTCTGTGGACAAACCCTGAATAGTTTTAAAAACTGAGCCGCCGTCGGTGTTCTGACTCAATACCCCAAAATGCACTTGTATGTCTGGGAAATCGTCCGAGGCATTCGCGTATTTGGTATTGATAAAAGCTAGTCCTTGGAGTCCTCCTAAGAGAGTTAATGGGCCGGTTCCGAATAAGGCATATTCTAGCAAGTATCGAATATCATACAAATTGCTCTCTGGCAACGATACTTCTTCATCCAGCAAGAAGTAAACGCCTCCCGCAAATATGTGATCTTGAAGATTAAGACCCACACTTAAATTCCGAACCAATGGTATCCCGTGTTCCTTTAAGTGTTCTCCAGGTCCTATTCCAGACAGCATCAGCAATTGAGGGCTGCTGATAGATCCTGCGGAAACTATCACCTCCTTGCTGGCATGGACGCGTAACGTCCTTCCGTATCTAAAGAACTCTACACCGTAAGCCCTCTTTGACGACGGATCTATTAAAATTTTCGTAACATGTGCGTGCATAGCGACGTGTAAATTCTTACGCGCGCTAGCCGGCCGCAGGAAGGCCTTCCCCGTGGAACACCTACTGCCATGTCTAATGGTCCCCTGAGGAAACATAAAGCCAGTCTGCCGTTCTCCATTAAGGTCTCTATTCTCGTAACCCATTTCTCGTCCTGCTTGAAGGAACGCCATGCCCATTGAACTCCGCCAAGGTGGTTCATCGACAGTTTGGTAACCTCCCGTCGAATGATACGGAGTCTTGCTGTAGTTCTGATTCCGATTGTCTTCCGATTTTTTGAAATAACTCAGAACGTCCTTGTATGACCATCCCGGATTGCCCAGTTGTTCCCAGATGTCGTAATCTTTTTTGTTACCACGAACATAGAGCATGTAATTTATCGTGCCGCTGCCTCCGATCGCTTTGCCACGTGGCCACCGGCAGCGACCCCCCTCCATCGCTGTAGGCAGAATTTGCGATAAAACATACAAGACGATGCGAATAATAAGTAATCGATTATTAATGTTGGTTGGTGATTGATTTGCGTTTATATCTCTTCGCGTTCGACGATAAGATCATTTGCCGGTTAACGTTTGTGAGTTAACGTTAGAACTACGTAAATGTACCTAAATATTCTATATATAGTATCAGTATAATTCAAATAATATTAGTTAAACTAAATAGATCCATACAATTATTTAACTATTTAAGCAAAAATCTGTGTTAATCTTGCTACAGATATATGTATGCTTCTATTAATATTGAAAACGAAAATTTTCCTTCACTCATATAAACGTATTGGATAATTCTGATATTAATATTTATTAGGATGTAAAGTTATGCATACATTAGAGTTATTAGATATTATTTACCTCTGCAATAATTTGGATTTGGTTCCGTCGTGTATTTCCAGTCGATCTCGGTGAGCTGTAGATTGGGGGCAGTAACAGGAATATCATATATAATGCTTCCATCGCCACCTGCTTCCAAGAGGAGTACGTTCCAGTCTTCTATCTCGGACAACCGACTCGCTACCACGGCTCCTATAATCAATAAATTGGCAGAACATTATAGAACATAAGTAAGAAAACATCAATCTACTCAAATATTAGAAATACTTTTATTTCAAAAATTTGTGGTTTAATATCAAATCATCGAAAAAGGAAAAGTATTTAGTTCATACCACAAAATGGATTTCGTGATAATCCTAAAATATGTTGCAATAATGTATAATTTATACGATATTTATAATGTAATATATATTTATAACATATTACAAAATAAACTTAAATTACGTTTATATGCAGGAAAGGTGAAGTTAAAATTTCCTTGTTAATATATACAACAACGCACAACGGCATTAAATGTACTGCACAACAGATAGAGCGGCTAAAAGAAGGGTGTAATGGGTAATCAAGATGTGTATATTGTTAGATTTGTGTGTTACTTTATTATATGGATAATAAAGCGCTCCTGCTCGCGTGAAAACACACAGATACGCGCTTCTTTCTCATATTTTCATTTCGTTTATGATGTAATTTTCTATCGACATCATGAAAAAACGTACCTGCAGAACCACCGCCTACGATTATGAAATCGTAAGATGGCAAGAGTGATTCGGAAGGAAGATTCTTCGAGGAATAATTAACAATCGAATATATGACGTATAGCGATAGGTTTAAAAGAATGGATAATATTGATCTGGCCACTTCTGATCGGACTCCTCTGAGAATATTGCGGCTGACATCCATTTTATACGTCTCCGATCTTCTTTATCGAACTGTAACATTAAGATATAACAGTTTACCAATTATCTTTCACAAACTTCTGCAAGTGGCCACTAGGGGCAACTTCGCGAGTTTTCCCATTGACCATAGCACACAATAAATCCTTTTCAAATGCGTAACAACATATACTGCTATGTTTGAGAAGCATGTCCTACTGGATAAATTGTAAAATTCAAATAAATAAATAAAAAAAAAAATGTTTGAAAAGCTGCTAAATTCTCGCGCATAATGTCATTGGTTCTAGAAAGGTTAGAATTTCTTAGACTTATAAAGTATTAAGATACAAATGTGTAATTAATATGCACATTTGGATGATGTTAGCGCGTTTTTAACTTAATATCTACAGGTTATATATAAGAAAAATATATTGAGACGATTTCCATGCAGCTTATATTTAGTTCTTCAAAAAATTGTTCCTGCAAAATTGATCCTCTTCCTCTGAGAGAAAAAAATCATGACCCTGATAAGTAAAAATGTACTATAGCTGATAAGTAATGGAAATTAGATCTATAACTATCTGGAATTAACTGTTACACAAAGCATTAAGTGTATCAAAGAAACTCGTTAGACAGCATCCATATGGAAACTACTAAGCATTCAGTAATCTCGACCATAATGATACGTAAACCTTCACCCGGGCTTGTTACATCTTTTATGCTAATTTAATTTGGAAGATATATTTATTAATTTATTTGTTTATTGTAGCTATTTACTGATATCTGGCTGTTACAATGTCGATTTACTTTTCTCCAACACATAAATATTCTTTTATGGTAATTATTCCGCAGAAAGTAAACATCATAGATTCGAATAATGTTTGGCCTTGGATTCCAAGGATTTGGCAAAAAAATTCAATTACATCTAAGTTACGATCACACTTTCTGCTGGAACAAGCGACCACACTTTCATATAGACCGAATTAAACAGAACTCACTAGTGACAGAGATAACTATTTTTAATATTATACAAATATGAAAAAGAAATTGATTAATGGCTTATTGGTTGGGCTGTATTAATAGCGGATGGCACAAAATAATATTCCATAAACTGATTGATGCATAGAATGCCGCACTTGATACCGACCTTCAATTAGTCGAAAGTGTCAGATATATACCTTTATTTACTGAGAAATTGTTTACAAAGAAAAACTAGTAAAATTAATTGTTAAATAAAACATATTAAACATAAATATCTGTATACCTTGAAAACTAACGTCGAGTGACAGGTGTATGTAGATGTAGTAAAAAGTTGTCCAGAATGTTTGTTTTGACAAAATGTTTCGGTATCATCCAAATTGATGAGTTGTATCCTATTCTAAACAATTCTCTATTTGACATGTACACAAATGGCAAATAAAACTATCAGATATTGGAAAACCTATAACATATACGTGAATCTTATATCTTATGGTGTAGAAGATTAGAAATAACGGAAAAATCGAATATTAGCGAAAATGCGGAGACTTTGAGAATACGTACGTGGATTGAACCTCAAACGTAAGAGAGTGCACCGATCAAACTCAAGGGAAAGAGACAAATGCTGCTTTGCTAGCGATCCCTTGAATACTCAGCTCTAACTATTCTGTTTCTATTTATCATTTATCTTATTATCATCTGTTTTATTCATAGTTTATATGTAACAAAAAACTTATCAATATGCATCAAATAAATATATACATGCTTCCTATTTAGCATATACGTAGATTAGAATTAATTCACATGAAAATAAATCACTCACGTATGCGCTAGGAAATATACTGCTCACAAATATCAGCTAGAAAATACAATTATTAGTTAAAATAACTCTATATAATGGTTGTATTAAAGAATATTTTGAGTAAATTATGTTACATTTTGGGGGATTCACCGGATGTATAGCATTTAATGTTGTTATATCTCAGTCTGTTGCAAATACTTGTACCTGAAAATCAGACAAAGTATGGAGTATAATTGTATCACTTGCTTTTAATGTTTCTGTCTACAGTTTCCGCCGCTTACCTTTAACTGTGTTCTCGAGTTTATCAGCGGAGATCGTTCGCGTTGTAGCTTCTGTCAAGTGAATACAAATTGACCTTACCGGCCGAGAGTTGTTTGCAAAATACTTTTTATGACAGTAATTGCCTGTGAATGCCAAATGAGCACAGCTATAACACAGCTGCAACAAATGTTATTTTTTAGAAATGTTGAGATGTTATTAGATACCGTAATAATTTGCATAATTTTAATAATCTTTCGGCAAGGGTAAGAGATTTCAAGATTGACTTAATTTTTAGGGTGCAATATGGTATCTTTGTATTTCAAATACACTTAATGACAACGATTAAGAGAGTGTCCTGAATTAGAATGTTCTAAAACAGCGTTTTTTTGTGATTTCTTTTTTAGAAGGGAAAGAAATGAAGTTATTGAATTTTGAGGTACGGTTTTCTATGTCGGAGTCAGGTTGGCATTTTGGGGCGTTCTATGAAACTTTACTTACTTTACCGTCGCGAATGTAGCTAATATTTATCAGTACGAATGTGGACACTACAAGAGGCTATGAGTAACGACGATAGGATGATGGTGACAACGAATTCAGGTTCGATAACCATGGTCCACGGGAGGACAAGTATCAACGTAATACTCGATTCGGGTAACTTCTCGATAACCCAATCAGCAAATTCGTCCAACGACTAATTAATAAACTAACTCTCCCTTAATCCAAAAGAAACTGCCCTTATATACTCCTGTCCCCACTTCTCGGGTCAATCTTAGTTTTTAAGGAAAGTCATATAATCTTTTCATACCACTGTCAGGTGCACGTCCCTCCCGTGATCGTGGCTACGTCTAGTAACTCACTATGTCACCTTGAACCCGAACCCATCGTCATAAAGCCAGATTGGAACATTAGAACTGTTTCTTATTTTTATTATTTAAGTGCAGCTATAGTAAAAGTCTAGACTAGGGTATTGAGGTTTTTCTCAACATTCCGGACGAGAAATCCCGCTGTCCTTCCATCTCCGACATGCATATATTTAACGAATACAAAAAAATTTGTTAAAGTAAAAAAGAATTATAACAGATTTCTAAACCTGTTTCATGAGCTGCAGTTTTTAATCGGTGGGAAAGATCCACCTCATAATCCTTGACTGAAACAAAAAAGCAAAAGAGGCATAAATTATTATATATTTTTCTTCTCGATGAACTAAAAAAGTTCGTCAAAAAGTTTATTTAAATAATTATTGTAGCACCTTAAAGTTTATTTTTTCTTTTTATAAAACACATTTTTTCTTTAAACCAGCCAAAATTTTTAATTTCACACTATTTTCAGTTCATCGAGAAGAAAAATATATAATAATTTATGCCTCTTTTGGTTTTTTGTTTTAGTCGAGAATTAAATTCTCGACTAAATATATTCTCATTCGTTAAGTATATACAAAACCATACCTCAAAATTCAATAACTTCATTTCTTCCTTTCCCTTCTAAAAAAAAAAAAAAAAATCACAAAAAGACGCTGTTTTAGAACATTCTAATTCAGGACACCCCCTTAAGTAATAGGACGATCGTTTGAGAATTACTGTATATTACTATCCCAAGCTACACAAATTAGAATTAAAAATAACATATGGAGTTAACGTTTCATACTTCGATAAACAATTACAATATACATACACAATACACAATATACAAACACAAGAAACGAAACACAAGTTTCCTCACAAAAGTTAAAAAACACGAGCACTGTCATGTGGTCTCGATGCTAATGTAATCAAATAAACAGGTTAATTACTCATTTCAGAACCTAATTGAACGTTTGTGAGACTATGTTAAACGTGAATTATCAAGAGGTTATTTTATAAAGAAAATGCAATCACTACGACAAATTATAAAATATAGTCTGAAATATCGGCTGAGTTTCACATTTGTTTACCCTTAATCGCATCAATGCCACGCAGATTTCATGCAGTCCTTCCAAATCCAAAGTTAGGTACACAACTGTGGAAGGCAGTAATGTGACTGGTTGCTTTTCATAAGTTGCCCCGTTCAAGTCACTTCGTATCATCGTGTGACGTACACTACGTATCATATATTAACATTTGCTACTTTAGCAGTCTTGATTACATGTCGCCATTTAATTTCATGCTAACCAATAAAAACGGGTAAAAGACAATAAAGACGGGTAACTACAATATAACCTTGAAATTAGCACTAGGTCCACAGGGCCCGCCAAATAGACGAATTTCAAACTTCGATATGAAATACCCCAAAAACCATAGCATTAATTTTAACCATTTTGCATCGTAAATTAATCATTTCATCCAAAGAATTTATACACATAATTATTTTTTCGTAAGCTTTTTAATTTTTGAAATTTGTATGTAGTATATCTATCTCTACGAAACCCGTCAAATTTCATAAACAATCCTTATATGTTTGCTTTGTTTGTAAAAGTTTCAGTTATTGTAGACAGTTCTGGAATACACTGAAGATAAAGAGATACGCTCCTGATCAAAAAGATAGTCCAGGTGTGCTATCTTCAATTTCTCAATGGTACGTTTAATGTTTTTCGTTTGTAACGTATAATAAAAAAAAAGCAACGTATAGTAAAAAAAGCAAATTTTTGAACTAAAACAGCAACAGTTATCACTAGCAAAAAGAAAAGAGACAACGTTAGTAATTCGATGACAAATGGGAGGAGGCAGCGTGATGATTTGGGCCAGTGTTGACAAGTTCATCAATGGGAGAATGAATAGCGTTCGATACATTAATTTAATCAAAGAACAAATAAATAATCATATAGAACGCATTTCTGGATCTGATTACATCTTCTAACAAGGTAATGCATCTGTACACACATCAAAATTGGTCCAATCATATTTTAATGAAAATAATATATCTATTGAACCCTATTATTGAACCCTATTATTGAAAATTGCTGGGCAAAAATTATTCACGGCGTATACGCGAATGGAAAGCAGTATGACACGTACAAAAATTTGAAGTATATAAGGTTATGATAGGTACCGTTGGCGTATAAGATTTTTATCTTTATCTGGGTTGGGGGAATGTTCTTCCAACCATCAGGACCTCCCCTTTCTTCTCTTCTACAAATCGTGAAAAACAGGACTATGAGTGCCGGAATTCGAACCTGGGTCTGGAATGTTCGTAACCGATTACGCTAACCATAGCGCTGCTGTCGCCCTTCCATAGGATAGGGTCTTTGTGTAGCAAGTCACGGTACAGAAACCGTTGCAAAGTTTGTTGTTGAGTCCCGCTAGAAATTAAAAAATGCAATTGTGCGCGAATGGGGGATACGTTAAGTCAAAATTATATCCAGAAACTATATAAATCGATATTAAATCGTACAATAGAAGTAATAGAAAATAAAGGGGGATGTACCCATTATTAAATAAGTATGTATGTTTGATAAGTAATTATTGTTAGTTACAATTTATGTTAATTATTATTTTCTTATTGTATATGTGCTATCATTTCGTTCTTAAAATAAAACAATTTTTTTTGTTAGACACTGAACCTCATAATATTTTTAATTATTTTTAACGAACCGCATATTTTGAGCTCGTAATGTTTTGATATTATACGTTACAGACGAAAAGCTTTGTGAGTGAAGAAGGATCTTCGAATAATGAAGACGAAAACTTCTTAAAAGTACGTCATAACAAGGAAATGATGGTATTCTTCCTAGTTCTGACTCCGAGGATGAAAGGACGAGCATTCCAAGCTCATCCCAAAATGTAATGGGTGAAATTGAAATTGCTGATCTAGGGGTAGGATGTCTAACTAGACCTTTTAAATTGATAATTGAGAGACACATAATGCAATATTGCACTGGAACCGAGACCTATCGAGTTTTTAAAAAAAACTGGATAATCCCAAATGTATGTAATTTTCTAATTTATATATGTCTGGGGCACAAATGAAGCGAGATCGTTAGAAGTTTCCGACGGATTACAGAAATCTATTCACATAAATTCGCGCTGATATTCGAAATATAAGACATATTTATAAGTAGTAACCAGCCTTGTTATAATCTACATAAAAATACCTCAATGAATTAATTATTTTTAACGGGAACCCGATACATGTTTACGCAATATATGCTGAATAAACTTCATAAATTTGGCATTAAGTTTTGGTTATCAGTTGGAGGCCAAACAAAATATATTTTAGATCGTTCGATTGATTTTGAAACTCGATGCTCAAAGGAAAAACGCACAAAATGACTTTGTTTTCCTCACATTTATATAAATTAGAAAACTGTACACTTACTGTGTATAAAAGTAAACCTAACGTAAAAGTTCTCATTGTAAGCACCAAACATACAGATGTATAAGTAGAAGACAATTATAAACGTGTTCCAGAAACCATCACTTTTTATAATAAAACAAAGTTTGATGTGGACGTGGTCGACCAGATGGCACGCAAGTATAGTGTAAAAGCAGGGAGTTTCAAATGGCCTCTTCAAATATTTTTCAATATTTTAGATTTGGCGACTTAGTGTTAAGTAACCTGTGTTAAGTTAGTGTAAGTTAACCTAGTGTTAAGTAAATGTAAAAAAGAATTTTAAATGACAAATTCATGCTCCAATTACGTTAGTATGAAGTACATTCGCGAAAGCAATAAAAATAAATTAGTTTATAGACATATGTGATCTTTCCCTTTTGAAGAGAAGCTTTTCTTTCCTGAAAGTTTCACTGTGCACATGTGCTGGAGTTGCTCGTTGATAGTATCGAAACATGTTCAGAGAATAAAGGATTCGTTTTAGCGTTGACGACTGTAGTGATATCCGCAGTAAGTTTACATTTCGAACCAAATGTTCAACTACAATTTGTGAGGCAGCCTCTCAGTAACTGTCGCATTGTCTGAATTCATAAAGAACGATCACTGAGTTAAAAAATATCATTTTCTACTGTACCATGCCATTAAACACAAAGAGTTTGCTTTCGTTTCCAACTATATAGACGTATAGACTAGTATAAACTAACCTCTCTATTAGTATATCTGTAACTAGTATCAAGAATTCGATATGTATTATTAAAAAAATCTTTTAAAACTCAATATCTCATCATAATATACAATATATATTCCAATAATTTATAAGAGATACAAGAACACTAATGGATAAAAGGAATTATAAACCACAGACAAGGTTCTGTACCTCGACATAATGCATAAACACGGCATATTGAATTGAAATATATTTTTATCAAATACTTATGATTATAATGTATGTTTTACAATTATAATTGTAAAACATGGTAGATCGAAATAGATCGATGCGCCTTATTGCAGACAAGACAACCAACATCGTCCGACCACTAAGAGCTATATCTCTTTCGTTAAAGTTTCCATGCCTGTATATACGATCGTGATCAATACTGGCGCATACACGATCACAAACGCGCAACTATGGGAAAAATTCACTGTAGTAATAAGAACAATTTTTGACGAATATTTCGCAAACTAAGCGAGTCTACCTCTTAATTGTATAAGAAAATATTATTCAAAATGTCCTGCAAAATGCTTTATAACATATCCAAAAATCATCGAGATCCTAGGATAGTTAGCATCTCTACAGTTTCCCCGTTTTTACTAACATGTGTTAATGTAATATGTAGCAAGAATAATTAACAATTTATACTCATGCTAGTATCACAATTTATTCAGTCTGCATTGCTTACTACGTACAAGTAGATACAAATATAACCTAACTTAGAGATTTTTAAATTGCACATTTGTTTTGTTTTACTGGTAGTTTATTCTACGTTAATTTTAGCTTAATCTGTCTTGACGTTGTTTTAACCGTATAATTTTGTTTATATTTCGTCATTTTAATATTGTTTTTTTTATTGTGAGAACAATGTGTGATTTTGTTTGTGTGTAACTGCATGTATCTTTGTTGTGGCTTTTGTTTGTGTGTGATTATCTAAACACTGTCATTCTTTAGTTACCGATATTTTGCTATATGTACCTCAAATCCATAGTTGTATTTATACGATCAATATCTTAATTTTTAATGATGTTTGTGTTTAGAAATTGCAGGAGAGGTCCAATCTTTTGTGGAGAAATGAATCTTGATTCTTTTTATTTCCCAATCATTTAATTTCGGTTGATTGCATAAAGTGAGTATCTCTATAAGATGTGGTTTACATCCTGGATATCTTTTTCACATTCACATGTGCTATTTTGATTGAATTTTGTCTGATAATTCCTATGTTTACTAAATAGGCTGCTAGGCTATGTTGATTCCTTTCATATCGCGGGGATTTGCTGGATATCTTTATTGTTGAGTTCACTAGCAGGTCCTAGACGAAACACTCTTTTTCGTCTTCCTTCCTGCACATCCTTTCTTCTCTCACTCTTGTTTCAAAATCTCACAAGAATCCCTATTAACTGAATGACAAATCATAGATGCTGGGGACAAATACGTAGACTGTTATTATAAAAACGACTTGGTTATATGAACCAACATGTCCCCCAACACATTCATATAAACGAAATTTTACTGTATTGCAAAATTACTTATTATGTACGAAAAAACCATTTTATATAAAATTCGAATGTATTAGGTGTTACGTGTCGTCCTTAACCCCTTGGTCTACACGTTATCTGCCGATCACGCGCCGTACCATTCATCTGTTTAGCCGTGTACCCGAACTGGCGTAAGATGTATACTTCTTATAACATGTATATTTAAGGGCTACAAAAGTAATCGTGAAATAATAAACAACGTTTGAGGACAAATAGTGTTTTAAGTTTAATAGTGTTTCTAGACTCGTGGTTTTCGCTTATGCCACAAATTCTTTACCACGTGTCAGACTCGTGGCTTTTGCTTACGGCACAAATCCCTTACCACGAGTCTCGCTCGTGGTTATAGGCCAAAGGGTTAAATGTTGGTGATCAATTTTGGATCTCGCACGGAGTAATCACGTACATACGACCACACCTTCAGCAACAGTACAGCGTGACAATTTCTGCTCATAGATTGAAGTACGCGCATTTTTGCATGCGTCCTGAGTGGCATGAAGGTTAGGCGGGTTGCAGTGAGCGCATCGTCACCCGTTCCGTCCTCGACTTGCCCGTCCAGGAATGTGTAAATTCGACAATTACAGTATCGTGTTGCGAGGTGAGTCTGATAGGTTTCAAATAGGGGATTTTCCCGTGCGTCCAGCAGATAGGTAGATAGGAGAGCAATTAAGGAGAAAAGTGTCGGTAAATTAATTAAGTCGTGACCGTCGGTAACGCGAATTCACAAATTTCTTGCTACGAGTTGCGCACGTTTGTAATAAGTCGCGCGTGTATGGCACATATCTGTAAAAAGTAGAAAGATAATAGGCCGGAATTCGTGGGATAGTGTGGTGCTTCGTCCAGTGGTTATAAAGCTCGAGCAGTAAGTACAATTGTGCGTTAACTTAGGACGCGGGTTGAGACAGCGATCTTTTAACGTAACTTTTGCGGCTAGCGATATTACGAGACCGAGGGGAGTGTGTGAATGTGAGTGCATAGCACGGTAACGATGAACGAACGAGCGTCTAGAGTGAGTCGTCCATATCAATTATTACATTTCTCTTTTCTTTCCTTTGGTATCATAAATAAAAGTGTATTATTGTTTGTGGAATTCAATATCCTTTTCTCTTCTTCACTATGCCTCTTTTACACCTTTCAGGTAATCTAGAATGGTCAGAACCTGTATAGATCCGATAAAGATCGGATTCAGGTTAAAAATGAAGCTCGGTGCTTCTCGCTCGAGTATTCAGCCGTGTGGCGTGCTCGCTACCATAATTGCTCGTGCTCGCATGTCACATTAGAGGACATATAAAGGACATATGAATCTAACTCGCAATAAAAATTTTGGACCAAATATGAGCATCGCAATTCTTACTCGTAGAATCTAATTCAGTAATTGAGATCGGGACAAAATTGTATATATTAGGTTGTCCGAAAAGTGTCTTTCTTTTACAGACCCGTCTTTTACAACGATGCATCTTTATACAAACATAAAACCTAATCTGTTGAACGTTGTGATTTTTATTTTAATAGAATAAAATGGATCGTACGTAATTCGATAAAATAATATAAAACGGAAAATGTTGTGCATCTATTATTTTCTTATAAAACGAAAGAAACTTTTCGGACGAGCTAATATCAAAACAATGTAAGACTTTTTTCAATTTAATTTATTAATCTGTATTCCTCTATGTACAAGACTGCGCCTGCTAAATAATCCTTTCTATGATACAAGATAGAGGTAATTTATTGGGTGAAATCGCATCTCATCGTCAAACTCACTCAATACATTGCAATCAATTTTTTTAACCATAATAGATTAAAAAAAGAGAGACAAAACGAAAGAACAATTCAGATTATTATTTACAAAAATAATTGATCAATTATTGATCGATTAATTATTGGACAATTCATCTCCGCATTTTTACAAAGGGAAAGAAATATAAATTCAAGATAATCATTCTTTCTTTGTACTACTTTCAATCAATATAATGAACACAACCTGTGAATTAGGCAATAGTCAATTCATTATTAATTATGTACAAATAATTATTATCGAATAAAGAATTAATGAAGGGATATAAAAATTTTTCGTGGTTATTTCATAATGACAACCCATCAATTAATCGACAAATACGGAATGACTAATTAATTAATCATCGGTACTAATTGTAAGGTCTTTTTGTTAAAGACCGACAGTAGTGACACAATTAACTAATTAATCTTAGATATAATTGATCAATTTTCGATAAAATTTCTTAAGCTAATTAAACGAAATTGATACTATTTAAAGCACCTGAAAAATTCTGTTCTTAAAAATTGTGCTCCGCTTAGAAAATTCACTGCGACTTTTACTCTTTTTTTTTAATAGTAATTAGTGTGATCATATTTACTTGTCGCAATCTGAATCATTATGTTATAAATTAATTTTGTTTTATCATGTTATTATATATGAAGTCATTTATATTCTTTTACGTGCATTATTGACCTTGCATTTTTTTGGTAACTGTCTCGTTTTTTTCTCTTTTTTGGACACTTTGGCATAAAAGATAAATAAATATATCAAAGTGACGCGGCTGAAACGAATCAATTTTGATTCAAATAATCTTTAAAATGAAGAATATTACTCTAACTAAAAAAAATAATGCACAATATTAAAAAAAATTTCACATAAAAAATATGTTTCGACTATTTCAATGGTAACAAGAAATGTCATTACTGATAAAAATCGCATTGAGTAATGTAACATTTCGCATTACATGATTGCAACGTTCTAAGTCATTTTAAGTATTAACTACAATATGCTATTATTCTCTATACAATGTAAATTAATTCACATAATACACCTCCCTAATACCCATCTGGTTTTCATATATGTGTAAATTAATAATTCCAAATTACTTTTTTCTCGCACGCGCCTCTACATTGATATTCACATAACAATAGATACCAAAAATAATCATTTACAAGTTTTTGGTTTGTTCTTCGATTAAGTAAGATTTTTCTTTTTCACATATGAATTAGTTATGTACAACAAATCATTTAAAAATTAATCTAATAAACGTAAAATAGCTGCTGTGTAAAATTAAAATATGGAGGTTCTCAATTATTTTCGTAATTACAATATGTCGGAGCGTTGATAAAATGATCATTTAAAAGCTTTAAATTAAATATTTCTATAGTCGAATATAATACTGTAATTTTAGGAATACGTTACATCGTTTTTCATGTAATACCTTTCCATGCAAATATTTAAAAATATTGAGTTATAAATTTATAGTCTAAACAAATAATATTTCAAATATTTCTCAATATTCACGCAGAAGAAACATATAATATCAAAAGTGAAACTTAAAAAGAAGAGCGAAAAAAATAGCTAAGTAGGAATGTTAAGTTAATTTAAATAGTACTGGCCAGCGATGCGATATTTCACAATATTTCACAGAAATTGAAAATAAGGATATTGTCAATTAGTGTCCAACAATAACATTATAGTGCGTACAAAAGAAGAATAACATTAAGTAACATCAGATTCTCAAGCTTGACACTAAATATGTATCTTTATAATGTAAACGGACGTATTATTCTGTTCTGTATAAAATAGTACTATAAAATAAAAGCATATTCAATTTACTTCCAATTTTAATCCTTTGTGCTCGAGAGGCGACAGTCGTAAATACGACTTAGCTCTTTATATTCTTTGTTAGGAAGTATAAAGTATTACACTTTAAAATGGAGATAAAATATTTAATCCTAAATCCCTCCGAAACTATGATTCTATCAACGTCTCCGATGTTAATTCGGATGGCAAAAGTGTTATAATTTAGAAGTACTAAAAAATGATTTTCAGAAGTGAAATTAGTTCAAATGAAGATGAACTTGATTTTGAGCTATTGAGAAATGAGATCAATTGTACTCAAGAATGCACGAGTACGATACATACATAAAGTACGATACAAAGAAATACAGAAATTAATTATTACAAAATCATATTTTCAAAGATGTAAATATATATATATATATTATTAGAATATAATGTTTTCGTACGTCAATTAGTGTATAAAATCATTTTACACTAGCAGTACACTAGCACGTGTCACGTATGCGCTAAATCATCTCGAATTGCTACTTCGCCCGACTGAAAAAGTCCTCGAGCGCAAAGATTTAATATTAGGACACATAATTAATGGTACGTAAGCTTGTGTATGATATTTAACTTCGTTCCTTTTTCTTCTTTCTTTCTTTTTTTTTTTTTGGTACATTAAAAATTAAATTTTGTATTTTCTTTAGCTACATCGTGAACTGTCTGTGAATAAAATAGAGATTTTTATCGACATTTTTTGATAAAACAACTGTGATACAGATGAAACGAAGTAAATTGTTCATTTTATCACCGCTCCGACAATCGTATATTACGTTCTGTTAAAAACTTATCTGGCTTTTCCTTTATAATTTAGTCAATACTCAATAAACAGTGGTTTCAAAGTAATCCACCCTTTCGTCCAAACAGCAGCGAGCTAATACTTCCCAAAGCGGATTGCGCAGGAGGAGTTTCTTTTGCAGACGTAACAGGGGCTGCAGCAGATGTAACCACCTGTCCGAGATCAGATCTCATGGCCCTAGTACTAGTTCTTCTTTGTCTAGATTCTCTGTTTGGTATAGACTCGTCTTGTTTTTTATCAATTATGTTTCGTTTTGTCGTCGAGGAATCACTAGCAGTGGAAGAAGGTGAAAGTTTCTCTTGATTCCCACTCATGGAGTTTCTCAGGAAAGTTAACTGAGCCATGGGGCTTACACTACCATGCCTGGCATATAAAGAACCTTGTAACACTAATGGGGAGAAAGATGAACCATATGTTGAAGCCATTATTGTGTCAATGCCTATTCTTTCAAGTTTCTCAACCAAACGGATACTGGTAAGAGCTTTTTTATCTGATCTGGATAATTCGGGTCGTTTTCTCTTTGCCTGTTGGAAAATACAAGAAATATTAGCATAAATCAAATTCATAAAATAATATATATAAAGATAAAGATAAAATATATAATAAAGACATATAATAAAGATAATAAAGAGAATAAAATGTGTTTGATATAAAGAAATAGTAACAATTTCCCATTCTAATACCTTATTTTTTAAGGTTAAATACTTCTAAAACTATTTGATTAAGGAATAAGTAATTTTTGAATATTAAATTAATTCATCTTGTATGTTATAGAAACAATTCTCTTAAACGTTTCTAATTTCTTTTTTCAATATTTAATCATTCATCAAATTTAAAATAAATTAATAATGTCCTTTCTAATGTAAATTCCTTTTATTTTCAGGAAACAATCCACTATAATAATTTGTTACACTTTTGTATTTAAATACCTAATTTTTAATTAGCAAGTGATTGTTAACTCAATTAAAGATCTGAATTTGAATTATAAATAAGAGAATTATCATTTATATATTGATAAACAGAATATGCTTTCTATTCTCAACAACAAAACAGTAATATTATTTCTAATAATATAATCGAACTAATAATTCCTCATTTTTATGACAATTGTTCGTCAATATGTGAAGGAAAATTTATTTAGTTCAATATCGAGAAAATTCTATTGGCATTCCACATTTTTCAATATTCACATAAATATGTGAAATGATGTCATGATTAAGATCAGAGTTCTTCAACTAATCGGAATTACTTATTAATGTCGTAATCTTTTACATGGAACATGTATAAAGATAAGATTTATTATATTATAGTGGCATTATGCACGATTTGGTAAAATTTTTATTCAAGAAACGTTATTACTTATAAAAATTAACCAATATTTTCTTCTTGCTTCATTATTTTATCAAATTTTAATTAATAGATCGCTCATGTTTAAGGGAAATTTTTACTCTTTAAACATACGTATCATTTAAAAGATACATATTGAATGTGGAATGTTTTACAATGCTTATCAAAATTAGAAAAAGTCAATTAGATGTATTTTATAAAATTATTATTTTTTATGTATTTTATAGAAATATATGTTGTGCGTAATGCGAGCTGTCAATACAACATATCCGAACTTCATTATCAAATCATATTGAATATAACTGTAATTTTGTCACATTAAAACTCCAAATGTCTTTGCTTATAAATGTTTATACATACCTGAGTTTCTCCACCGAATGTTCTCTTTAACAATTCAGCTCCACTGGATAATAACCCTAAAGAAAGTCCACCTTCTGGTGTTGGTGTACTAGATCGACTATCTGGAGGACTAGCATCAGGACTATTGCAAGGTGTTGCAGTGGGCGTATAATTCCTCTCTCCACTCGGCGTTAATGAAGAAGGTGATGCAGCTTTTATACCTGTTTGAATATGTTGATTAAATTAATTTACTAAATTTTTTTACTAACGAGTTTTCCTAATAACTAAACTAGATTCTAATAGAAAATATATCTTGTATTATTTAAGAGGTATTTTTTGTAAAATACCTCTTTCGTTTAACATTTTTGCAAGACCAAGGGTTGTTGAAAATGTTGAAGTTGAAGTTGAATTTTTTCTGCTTAACGTGCTTGGAGTACTCATACCAGAATTTAAACCACTACTAGGTGCTGTTTCGCCAGTACTATCCACAATACTTGGAGTGACATTTCTGTGATCATCAGGATGAAGTACAGTACTATTGGTGAATGTATATATGGAACCTGTATCTTGAAAAATTTTTCCAGGGTTACTATATTCTTCATCTTCTTCAAGATCGCTTAAAGTAAAAGTAACTAGGCCTAAATCCTCCAGGCCTCGACCTCCTCTTGTTTTTACTCCTGGCCGTTCTTCTAAAAGACAACCTAAGAAATAAAACAGTGATTTAATTAAATATTTTTATATTCACATTCTGTGATAGTTTCATTTTTCAAGAAGTGCAATTTAATTATATACAATAACATGGTAGATAAAATACTGGTAAATATAATATTTCTCATTGTATTCTTGCAAGAGGTAAAGCTATTTTATGTATATTATCTATAACTATTACAATATATTATACATATACTGTTATCAAAATATATTAATAAAATATATTTTTTAAAATAATTTTAACAGAGGATCATACAATATTACCTAGTGTAGGTGTAGCTAATCGAGTCCAATGATGTAAAGTTTGAGAACCTTCAATAGGTTTCACTATTTGTAACTTCTCAGGAACTCTCCAAGTATTTCCACCATAGCCACTTAAATTTCCACTACTTCCCGTAGACATAATACTGTCTGGAGTTCTACAACCATGAGGTGCGGAAGTGGAAGGTGAATGCATTCCAGCCTCATAGTCATAACTATATCCTGTTCCAGTGCTGAGACAAGCACGCCTTGTAAGAACTTCTGCAGGTGTTAATCTACGGAGTGCTACTTCCAAATCTGCTGCACCAGGAGCACCTGGCACTCCTACTTTTTGTGGACCTCTAACATTTTTAGAACATATTTACTGATTTGTTTTATAAATTAGTAATAAAGGAAATGATTATTAGCAAAATTGAAAACTTCTTATTTTACATATTGTTAAAAAGGCTAATAAATATAAACTTACGGATAATCTTCAAACTCTTCTGAATCGCTATGTGCAATGGAATCCACACCAGGAACTGATGCCACAGGTCGAGGCTGACCACAACTCATTCGTAGTCCAGTAGAACTGCTTGATAGAGTTGATACTGTCATTGAACCTATTCGTGGGAATTGATTTGCATCAGCTGGATAAGATGTATTTCTTGATGCGCTCCTCACTGTTTCAAAAACTTTCTTATATGTTGGTCTGTGTCCAATATCAAAAATATAAATTAATACTTTTCTTGAATGAATGATAGCAAAATGAAAAATGTGAATGTGAAATGAAACAAAACACATACATCCTATCTGCAATGATGCCAGAATCCAAACTGAATTCAGAATAAAGCGATGATTCCAATTCTGAAGCGATAGAGTCTGCTTGTGGAACAGCACCCAACGAAGGAAACAAAGAGCCTCCCCTAACAGTTGGCATACCTCTGTGTCTTTGTTTTCGTAATTGTTCTTGAGTTTCCGTCAATAAATTTATCACCTTATAGCATAAACATTTAAAAAAAATGTATTATTGCTTAAAATACTTTAATATCATTTAAGAGTATCATCTAGACTAATTCTATTTAATTTAAAAATATTCTTTAAACTTATTCTCCTAGTATAAGAAAAGAGATAGTCAGTGAACAGTAATATGGTAATATAAAACTGTCTGAGAATATACCTCAGCATATCGTTCCTTGAATTCAGCCAACTCGTTCGCTAGAGTGTTTTGATTATCCTTGGTGATGTGCAAAGTAGTGCTCATTTCATCATGCTCAGCCATCAACTGCGCCAATCTCAGTTCTGTTTTAGTTAGTTTTGCTGTCAAATTGGTAATTTGTTCATGTTGCAATCGATTTTCTTCCTTCTGTTTATCAAGCTCATCCGATATTCCATTTACCTCCATATTTGCAGTTGCTACATACAAAATAATCTAATTACTAATAGAATTTTAAACTTCAATCAATACGAACTTTAAACATTCTTATGGAATTCACAAGCTTTTATCTAAAAATTTTAACAAAAATTCATCGACTAACCGAGTTGAGCGGCAATATCTTTGACAAGTTTTGCCTCTTGTTCCTCCGAATTGTCGGCATCGTGCATCAATTTCGCGAATTCAGTTCTTAATTGCTTATTTTCATCCTCGAGGCAGCTGATCTTTTTCTGCATCATGTCCAGGTTGATACTGCGAAGTCCGGTGGGCGAACCGGCTTCGGAACCTGATTCTTCAACATCATTTGTTAATATTTGGATTAATTCTGTCTTTTTTGCGAGTTCGTGCGTGAGTTGAGTAATATTTTCATTGGCTTCCTTTAAATCGGTCTCTAAACTGGTAACTGTTGCTTCGAGTTTTTGATTGTGCGATAGAAGTTCTTTACCGATACGTGCGGTTAGTTCCAAGTCCTTTTCTTTCTACAAATTAATTATTTACTTAACATTTAACGAACACAACAAATAATAATTCAACAATTTACAAGGTGTGATTAACACATACCCGGATTGATTGTGTTAAAAGCAATCTTTATTAGATATCGGTACAAACAATTAATCCCTTTCAAAATATTCCCTTTTTGAGGTTATACTCTTATGCCAACGTTTCTGTCATTGATTTTCTAAACGAATCTTGGGAAATACTCCTCAGACGCGTTATTATATTCGTTCAATACATTTGAACATCGCACATTGCTTACTCCGTGAGGAATATTCTTTTAGCAACGTAGCGCAGTTCTATAGTTAAACAGTTACCTTATTCATCTGACATGACTTCCTGCAGTTTCTGGCTCTTTCCACAATTGAAAGTGTTACCAAAAGGACGAAGATTCGACGACATTGAGACGATAAAGGCGAATACAATGAAATATAAGAATAGCATTCCGAAAGATTAGAAAATCTCCAATGGGAGAATTTGGCATAAATATCTAACAAAGTCTGCCTTTAACATAACCATTTCGGGTATTTTTTCATCACATCTCGTATATATTATATACCTTAAATTGTAACTTAATAAGCTTTATTCTAATTTTATCTTGTTCTATTATCTACAGAGAAATTTTTGCGACTAAGTATAAATTATACATCGTTAGAAGTGTGCGGAATCATGTCTAGACTTGGCTGAAACAAGTTATATCTCTATTCTTCTAATATCCTATCTAGCATTTTTTCATTTTTTCAGTTATGTTGAAAAATTTCCACGTGTTTACGTTTTAGGTAAAGGTATTTCAAATTGAGTGAAGACCAAGATGACACAAACAAAATGATAAAACTTTGATTTTCTTCAGTGTCTGACAAAAAAAAACGAATGGTATGTGTCAGTACCTTTTGCAGCAACTGTACAAGGTGATTCATAAATGTATGTCCATACTTCAGGGAATGAATCTACACATTAAAATAACTTAAAAAAAACGTCGTATGAACATGTCCTATGTAAGTACTTTTAGTTTTCGAGATATGGATTTCACACGTCTTAACATACGTTATAGCACTTTTACCTTTCAGCATCTAGAGAACTGTAACGAGCCGGCGAGAATAGAATACTGACTACCTGAAATTTGATTTCATTAATATTAATTGATATTGCTTAGCACATGTTACACTTTGACTGAACGGCTTGCAAGTTGGTTACAATATGAACTTTGAATTTACTCACAAGACAACTAACAAAGTCAACTTCGACGAACATGTTATCTGTTTTGCTTTTATAATAAACAACAGACTTATTGGATGACAAACTTGATATTTGTTAGATTCCCAATGCATAGATTTGATACTTGCTAGAGTGATAGATGCTAAGTATAAGAGTTAGGATAAAAGATGGCGGACCAAACTATACTGTAGATTTTATAGAGTGACGAATCTCAGGAATGTTCTTCTTTTCAAGATTCGCGAAAATTCGAAGAATAGGCAATGCTGTTGGAAGTAACACGTGGATTGGAGAATTTGCAAGTTACTCGAACTTAGAGAGGTGGCGGAAAAGAACGATAATTGGTTACAGGAAAGTTCGTGAAAATGAACTCTGTCTACTGGTCATCCTCAGTTAGCGATTGACTTGGGTCGACGTGCGTGACGTCCGTGAAATCAGTTAACGGTTCACAAGTGATGAAATCATAAAGCATGTAGGTCTTGAAAACATATTGATTTGTAGAATATATTTTCTATAAATTTTTAGCCATCTGGGCCACAGCTGCAGAAGACAAACCCATTGGATTTATAATCCTATGTTTCCCAGAAGTAGGGAAAGGCTATTTTTCTACATAATTAAATCGAATTTATGAAAAAGAAGAATAATGCTTATAAAACAGATTTAAATGTATTTTTCCCTCATTTTTAGTTTCTAACAATGGAAAACTACCAAACTACTACTAACCATCATTGTAGGCAGAGCGTAACTCATAATGAGACGCATTTATAGGATAACGTCATCTCTACGAATACAATCATTTTTTCAATTTTTATGAAAAAAAGACAATGACGAAAAAGGAATTTGCTAAAACATTCTGATTATGAATAACTGTTATAAATGATCAAAATATTTGTGGTTACTGATAATAATTATAGGTGATCAATCAGTCAAATTAAAATCATTATATGTGAGACTATTTTTTTCTTTCGTTTATCGATAACCAATGACCATTATCGATGACAGAAAAAAATTCTGTCACGAAAAATGATTAGCGACAACAAGCAAAAAATTCTTTCATATATAATGACAATGGGCAAACAAAAAGAGTTTCTCTTACCGATATTGATCATCAGTAATTAAAATCAGTAATTCTCTCACACACAATGGTTATCGATAATCAAAAACATTCTGTTCATTTATTTTATACTAATTCTTATGCTGCAACGTTTAGTCATTTTGGTTACATTTGTCTTTGTCTTTGTTAGTCTTTGAACATTTTGTTTAGTCATTCCATATCTTGGAAATTAAAGGACACACGTTCACATAACGTTTTTTGCTTATTTTAATATGTAAATCCATTTCCTGAAGTATGAACATGCATTTCTGAATCACCTTGTATATTTATATGCCGAATTGAGTCTCGAGATCCCATTACAAATACGAGTTTGTAATCCCTGGATCCTGCACACCCCTATATATATTTTATATTAGCAGTCATATTTACCTCCTCCAGAAGCCTTGTAACTGCTTCTATGTCATTATAGGTCTTGGTCATTTGGCTCACCCGGTTGCTACATAAAACTGAAATGAGAAATAATCGTCTCTGCAATAGTTTATAAAAGAAATATCATTTAAGAGTAAATGATTAGAAAAAGTAGTATAATCTAATGTGGTATAATAGTACAACCAGCATATTATATAATAAAGAAGCAATAACTAAATAATGAAATAGAATAATTGTACAAGCAATGCGAGTAATAAATCAAAAGGCAATAATAAGAAATTAATATATATATATAATATTCTAGAAAAGCTAAATGCATTTGTAATGATACATTTGTTGTTTAAGTCATAGACAGTATAAACAGAAATTTAAATTTTGTGTATACCAAATACTTCCTGTTTATGAGTCAGTAAGAGTTATATGAGTTAGTATTTCTATAAACATTTACAATGATATTCATTGTCTAATTTGATACACAGTGTAATCAAACATTAATATTTTGTGTACATCAAATTCTCCCTATTTGTGAATCAATAAAAGCCTGTTACACGAGTTAGAATTTCTTTGATCAATATTTTGTATATGAGACATAAATAACTACTGCTACTTAAAATGTTATGTCACGAACAATAAGGTTAATTATATCACAAAAAGTGATTCCTGAAATTTAGTTTAGAATTTTAGATACATGGCTGACTATCCACACATGTATTTAAACATTGAGTTTAAATTTATTATTTTTGTTATTGGTGAATATACAAATGTTTTATACGTATCCGACAATGCAAATGAATGAAAAATGCATTATGTTATTCGTAATAACTTTAATTACCCAAATATCTCCATTATTTTCAGTAACACATAAAATGTAATTAAAGAAAGCGTAGAATTTGTAGAAAACATTTTATGGTCAATAGTTCTCACAACTCTATTCTTTCTTCACTTTTTAATAAAACTGTAGATTTAATTATACGCTTTTAATTACCACAGTTTCTATGAAATTTTATTTCGCTGGTACGTGAACTTCTTTACTACCTCTAATTCTTTCTTTTCCTCCCATTTCCAACTCATTTCCTTAGCTCTGCCATTTTCATTTAAAAAAATCATAATCGCCTTTAATTACCCAAATGACAATTTACTTCTTTTTCTTTGATTTACTAAAATTCTTGAATTCAACATATATTTTTTATTAGACAATATAAATTAGACAATATCATCAATACTTGCAATTTGCACAGCTCCTACATAATAAATAGCATTTTTCATTGAATCTCTTAGGTTTTAAGCAAATAGTAAATCTTTTATTTTCGCTAGCCTGAAGTTCTTTTTCGTTGTTTTCAGCATAATGAACCTATTTAGTACAACTTTCCTTTTTTTTGGTTTCAGCAAAACTACTTTACATATCGTTATACACGTAGAAAACATAATACAGTAGATTCAAGATATGAATCTGTGCAAAAAAGGAACCAGAAACAGAGTATACATTGTTCATAAGAAAATGAAAAAAAGATGTTTGGCGTCAAGTTATTCAACGAGCTTACAACGATAAACCGAATATCGAACGATCGGAATGCTGACGTTCAGACGTGCTATTTTTGGAAATAGCTTCAGTAAAAAAATGCTGGAATCAATTATTCTAAGAGTCAAGAAGTAGAATCTGTTCTACCACAGCAACTTCTGTATCTCTGTAGAGCACGTGTACTGCTAGCATCTTCGTTCTTTATATTTTATTTTTTCACCTAAATCTTCCTTTGATTCGATGCAGAATTTTGACTTCGTTGATTCATTGAATTCAGTATGAATTTTCTAAAAAATTTCTTTGATCAATATTTCACATATGAGACATAAATAACATACTTAAAATGCTATGTCACGATTACAATAAGATTAATTGTACCACAAAAACTGATTCCTAAAATCTCTTTTTGCATTTTCTCAAAAGACATCATTTCTTTTTTAACATAATATCCGTGAGATCTTAAAATTTACTGCGCTTTCAGCCCTCGTATCGCTGTAACTTGAATTAGAATAAACTTAGTACTTTTTCTTTTCCTATTTCTTTTTTTTTATCCTGAAAAGTTGAAAAGATATGAGAAAAATTAATAATCAAACTTCATAGGATTGAGTTAACAAAAATATCATGTAACATACTTTTTGAGTTTGTCGGAAGGTCCACTACAATCTCATGAAAAAGACATATGATCCTATTTATGTTACCCAAGGTGACCTTGGTTTCGATATAGAAACAAAGTATTTTCGCAATTTTTTTTGTCGCTTATAGTACACTAGACATTGTTAAAGTACGTAATAAAAGTTAATGTTTATTTAAATGGAAGCCAGTTATCAATAAATATCAAAGAAATTTCTAAAAAAAGTGGTGGTTAAAAAAATTTTTTTCTATCAGTAACCATATATAATCATAAAAAATATTTTTGACTTGTTTCATACTTTTTTATATCACTTTTCGACTTAATAACATGTGTATAAGTTCCACAATTCACTTACTTATGTTATTAATGAATATGTACTAATTAATATCAGTAATGCTGATAATAATTGACAGTAGTTGAATGTAACCAGAAATTATTTTTGTATATTTCAATAATGGTCGCCGATAACGATCATTAGTAATCAAGAACATTTTCAGTCATTTATATTGATATACTCGTAACCACAATTACATTTCCGTTATTGATAAGGATTGCCGACAATCAAGACAAAAAATTTTCCGTTTATAATGCTTATTCATAACCACAATTATTTCATTAAAGATATTAACTTTTACACCACAACTTTACAAATTTGTCTTATAACATTTATGGTGTCTGATCATGAGTGCTATTCCTATTCGCAATTTAGCACCTGGTATTGTTTGATAAGAGAGCATGATCTTATCGAAAACAAATGGATCGGATCGATTTAAGAAAACTTTTAAAGAAATGGGTTCACAATAACAACGATAGCACGATATCGCGAAGAAAGGAGTTGCAATGATGCATTGTCTTCTCTGTAGCAAGTTACTCTCATCGCTTGAGAAATGAGAATACAAACACGATATTATAAAATTTAATGTAGTTACATAGCAGCGAATTGTTGTTATTTCTGCATTTAGAGGTAAGAGCATAATAGTTATTATTTTATTCTTTGGATAAATCAATCACACCGTTCTGAGTCGAAAAACCTTCATTGCACTTCTTACATGGACTAGGGATAAAACGAAAGAACATTTTAAACCTATCGATTAAATCTATCGATTGTAACTAGAACTATCCTCTAGTTACTATTTGTTGGAACTAGCGCATCTGCCTATGGATGGCGAGCGCGAACTCACGTTGCCATTTTCAACTCGAATATATTCACAAGAATATATGACACAATTTGATAATACATGAGTAATTATAAAATAATGGAAATATTGATTTTGGAACCAATTTGTCATTAAAAATATATTTTTTTCCTTTTAAATAAATAATTTCTCTTTTTAGACATCTACGAAGAATGTGTTCGTAATTGGTTTTATAGAGCTTTTTATGAACGCAAGGAGAAAGCGAATGAATAAAAAATTACCGAATTGCACTTGACTTTTTTTTATGAATCAGTTAACAGAAAAATCATGCTTTTCATTCTACTCTTATTTTACTTTCGAATAGCAAATTTCATTCAGTTGCATTAATTAGTCGGAAACAATTCGTATCACGTTTGAAATAATATACTGTTTCAAAGTTTAAGCTATACAGTGAACACATAATTAAGGCCGTCAATGAAATTCTTTTTCAAACTACAAAATATAATCACCAACATAAGAACCGATATATAGGGTGTTTCATTTTAACACCGTTTCATTCTCTATGTTTTTCTATCCGAAAATTTCATCGCGAGTCTTCTTTCGTTTATTTCTATAATATTCATTACACAGAGAGTATCAAATAATAGGTAAGCTGTTGTTTTTAAAAAGTGACGCATCATATTATTTATGTAATTGGTAATAAACAGTTTACGAACGCTAAACTTTTACGTCACCAATATGTAGTGATAAAATGATACAGTTAACGAGATGTAACATGTGTAAGAGAATATTGTATTACTCTACTCTCTATATTGTGTGTTGTAAGTACAGGTATACTCGTATAATATTACAATGTATATGACGACGTATTATACGATACAAGAAACAGTACAACAGACGACAACAAAAAAATAATATCAACGGTAGATTAAATGATTTCCAGGGGAGGTGTAAATAAATTTCACAGTGGTTATTTATTATTATATATAATTGTTACATACCCTTCGTATTTATTGACAAAATATAATTTACAACTGAAGGGTCAATGGGAGAAAGGGGAATGTCAAATCTAACGAATTTTGGGTTTAACATTTTTTGTTGCTATGTGTGCACTTTATTTGTGTCGCATTGCGAATTAAAATTTCCCCAGTTTTACAGCAGTTTCAAGAAATTCACTTGTACAGCGAGAAATGAATACTTTTCATTTCTTATAGTTTAACGTGCTACATATTACTCGAAGTTACAAGTAAAAGTTGCGAAAGATGTAGAATAAAATGAAAAGTAAAAAGATGTAGTGATTTTGATGTGTGGAAAAATAAGGGCTGACGGAAATATGGGAAGAGATTGGAAGAATGCAAAAAGCAGGCGCATCAAAATGGCGATGGACCCACATAGAGACACCCCTGACTATATTTTGAGATCGCGTAATTATGCAGAAAAGGGAGCCTAAATTACAATTTGTCGTTATATTATATATTGGATCTTTTCCGAATATATTGTAGAAGATCCTGAGTAACGTATATTATACTTTGTCTAGACATACAATGATCGTGGTTCAAAAGTTACAGCAAAAAGAAAATAGCACTTGTTACGTTACGTTGACTCCAATATAAATGATTAAAAATGAAATCATAGCCGTATGCATTCGCATAGGGCTGCGATCCTAATAGTGGTAAGGTATATAGTTAGGCTAGGTTAGGTTAAATTAGATTTCATTGGCGGCTGGGGCCGAAGCACCCAGACGCATCACAGAATCTGACCTAACCTAACATTTAAACGAAGATCGTTGCA